ATTGGAGATATAAGGGTTGAAGCCGCGAAGAAACGCAAGTTGATTCATGCTTCTTATTAGAAAATAAGAATGGAAAAGAGCTATAGTTTGTTCACCAAGTTCTTTGCCTCTACAAGCATCACTCTTCCTCTCACTAATACAGCATAAGAATAGAAAATGGATCATCCAATAACAACTAAAGGAAAATGAATTGAAGAACCAAAACTGGAATTCTTACTTTTTTCACATTAATAAACTCTTTTTACGCAAGCTAAGATTTAGACTACTAAACACATGTTTTACTGCAAATTTAAATAAAGAAGAAAAGAAAGGAGGAAAGAAAGAAAGGAAAAAAGAAAAGAAAGAATGAAGAAAGTATCCTATTAAAAGCTTGGATTCTAGTCTAGAATGCACTAATAGCAACCGTTAGTGCATAACTTATAAGGAATACATAGGTTACATGGCATGCATATAGCAAATGCATTATTCAATAACTATAAAAAGAAAAATAAGTCCTTACTTTTCTTAGGACCAATTATACCAACACCATTCCCTTCTCCTAACCTGCCTAAAGAGAAAATCAATACGCTATAATTGATCATAAAACTTAATGTGGTACCTACTTCCCATTTATGAACTTTTCATGACAAGCTCGGATTAAGAATTACCAAATGCACGTACCAGTACAAATTTAAATGAAGGAAGAAAAAATGAAGGAAAAAAAAGGAAAGAAAGAAAAAAAAAAGAAGGAAGAAAGTTTGCTACCAAAAGCTTGAAATCTACCTCTAAAATACATCTCACTTTTAGTGAATCCTGCATAATCTATGAGCAATACATAGAATATGCAGCATATGACTAACAATTGCATCATTTAATAAATATGGAGAGAAAAATCATCTTCTCTTGGGTTGCTTAACAGAGCACATCAATATATTACGAGTGATCATAAAACTCGATGACATACCTCTCTTTCTCTTAGATATCATTTTCAATGCGAGCTTGGATTTGAACCTATAAAAGGCATGTTTTTCTACAAATTTAAATGAAAGAGAAAAGGAAATGATGAAAGAAATAAGTAAAGAAAGAAAGTTTTCTACCAAAATTCAAACTCTACCTCTACCATAAGTGAATGTCACATGACCTATGAGTAACAGATAAGTTATATAACATATGGATAGCAATTGCATAGTTCAGTAAATATGAAAATGAAAAATTCTCTTCGGGACACTAATCATGCCAAGATCCTCCCTCTCCCTTAAATTGCATAACCAACTGTGTAAATTTAATATAAATTATCAAAACACTTAATAAGGTACAAAATGCACATGTCATTGTAAATTTACATCAGATAGAGAAAGAAAGGAAAAGAAAAAAAACTTTTCTCTCAAAGCATAGAATTCTATTGTTAAACGCATTACCAACTGTCAATGAATGTCTCATAACCTAAAAGGGAATACATAGTCACATACAAATGAATAACACATGCATTGTTCAATAACCATAAAATTAAAATAGATTTTTACCTCTCTTAATACTAACTATGTGAAATCATCTCCTTTCCCTTAGTCCACCTTAAAGACCACTTCAATATGCTATATATGATCATAAAACTTGACAAGACACCTTTTTCCCACTTATAAATTTTTCCAAGTAAGTTCAGATTTATAAATGTACATTCTAATCAAATATTTAAATGAAGAATGAAAGAAAGAAAGAAAGCAATAAATAAAAGGAGGAAGAAAGAAAGAAAATTTCCTATCAAAGTTCGGATTTTACCTCTAGAATGCATCAATAGCTGTCAATGAGTGTTGCATAACCTATGAGAAATATCTAGGTTACGTGGCATATAGATAGCATATGCGACCTATGAAGAAAAAAATGAAGCATAGCTTCTTGGCAACAATTATGCCAACATCATCCCCTTCTCTGGACCTGCCTAAAAAGCAAATAAATATATTATAATTTATTACAAAATTTGAAAATATACCTCCATCTTTTTAGTGAATCTTGATAGGCAGTTTAGATTCAGAACTAGCAAATGCATGTATCCCTGCAAATTTGATTATGAAAGAAAGAATGAACGAAAGAAATAAAGAAAATAAGTGAAAAAGAAAGAAAATTTTCCACTAAAACTCAAAATATACCACAAAAATACATCACTCCCTATCACCGAATCTCGCATGACCTATGAGTAATATATAGATTATGTACCACACAATAGCAATTAAATCATTCAGTAAATAAGAAAAGAAAAATCATCTTTTCCATAATAACTATGCCAGCAATCTCCTTTTCTTTCAGATTGCCTAATACATAACATCAATATGTTATAATTGATCATAGAACTTGATAGTTTACCTCTTTCTTATTGATAAATGTTACTATACAAGCTTGAACTCAAAGCTACCAAAGGCACATATTGCTGCAAATTTAAATGAAAACATATGCTATCAAACACTTAAATGAAACACCATTATAAGAGTTCCAAACAGAACTAATTACTTGCTAAATAATTTAGAAGACATTATCTCACCTACCATCAAAGCTTGTTCTTGTTCTTGCTTAGCTTTTCGGTTGACACCTCAATGTTGATAGAGACAAAAAGGAAATTTTAAAAGACAGAGAAAACCCAATAACAATAACCAACACATATTTGCATGTTCATGGCGCTTAACAATTATAAATATGGTAAGAATGAACAAAACAAACCTAAAAACCTCAGATAAGAAACCAAAATTAGGTTGTTTTAAACCGTGAAGAAGAGAAAAAAAAAGGGAGAATGGTTTCTCACTCCAGTTTCCAGACCCACAAATCATCCACAACAAAGTGACTAATGATGTCCCCTTACTATCAAGAGGAACTCCTTACAAAATCTTTCCACTCAAATTATACATTAGTCTGAAAGATAAATTATATGAAAAAGAAACAAAAAAATACTTAATCTCACAGGGCTGCTAAAAACTCTGACGTCCCAAGAAGATTCTTCTCAGCAAATGACCACACACAATCTGCAATCACCAACCAATGTCACCGGAATCAATCAACAGGCATGTAAAATGAAATAAAAAGAATGATGATGTACATTTGCTGTATATAACAGGGTATTTGAGAAAGATCAGTGCCACCACAATACGTGTAAAAGGTGTTCTTCCACTCCTAAACCCCATGATACAATAAATTAGATGAAGAGGTATTCAAAGATAACATGCATGCCCTTGATGACTACTCTAATCACTAGAAGCAGAGACGTTGAACATATTCGGGCCGGCATACAATCAACCACATTATTGTAAGTATTCACAAGATTATCCCCATTATACTGAACAATGAACAGTTTGCATGCATAGCTTTTATTCGTGTCACTAAGGGTAATAGCAACATTCTGAATGATGGAAAATTAGAGAGCAGAAGTGGATTACACATTTCCATGAGACAATAGAAGCGCAACAACAACCTTTCCTCTATAAATATAAATACTCGCCCAGTCTTGCACCTGTCATTTTCTTATGTCTGTCTCATATGAGCCAAGATAAACCCCATGGTAGTATCAGTGACTGATAGCTAATTCTCTTTCGAACTGCTCAGTTTTCTACTAGTTTATAAAAGATGCTTGAGATCATACAACTTCCATGGATTTAAAGAAATCTATTAGGCTTCCTAGACCTAAAAAGGAGTTCCCAATACTTCTCTATCTTTTCGGTTTGTAATGTGTGGAATGCGACTGAAAATAGATAACTGGATGCATTCTGTGTGAGCGGGCTAACCATGTTTCATAATCCCCCATGGCAGTGTGTCTAAGTAAGATACCAACCCTATAGCTTGGAGCAGAGCCATTATAACCATTCTGTACAGGTAAAAAAAAAAAAACTAAAAACCCACCAACTAAAATAATCTTGCCTGATCAATATGTATCAATTTTTTGTAAGCTTCAAAACAATCTGACATCAAGGCAAAAGTCCGAACAGTGTCCATGCAAACCAAGTAGAAATACTGCTCAGCACAAGTTAGGATTGCTTCAAGAAATGCACTTAGAGCACCCCTCGTACTTTAAATTACTTCAAGTTACTTGAAGTTGATACTCATTTAAAAAATAAGCCACCATGCATTTAACAAAGTGGTGATTAGAAAAAAATAAACATTTATCTTTTTAGAAAGAACTAATAACAAACATATATTTACTATAAATATTTTGTAATTTATTTTAATATATATTTTGTTAATTTTAAGTAGGTAAAAATTATATTTAAAAGATTTGTTATATTAAAAAACTAAGTTTTAAAAATTTTAAATGAGACACAAAGTGTTTAAGCACTTTTTACAAAAAAAGAAAATTTAATTAAGTGTGTAAAGTTACTTACTAAGCTTAAAATAAGAAATTTCAATCACCTTTATAATCTCTTCTTATTATTAAGAAGGAAAATAACGAACATGTATAGTGGTATCTGAAAGTTACTTTTATCAAAATTGATCAATTGTTATGAACACAATGGTATTTGAAAATCATTTTTTTTAATGCATTTAGAAATTATTTTTATCAAAATTGATCAATTGTTGTGGACCTATATAACCTAAAACGATCTTGAGCAGGATGAGAGCATCAATTTGAAAGGTAGTCATGTAACTCATGTCTCATTCTGTACTTTTTGATATCACATGTCATATCACTCATGATACAAAAATTTTATATGAATAAAATTTATTTTCATTTATTTTCTAACGATCTGAGAACTAAAAGTGATATCTAAACTAAATACATTAAAAAAAAAAAATTATTATGTTCCTAAATCTTATTTATTTGATACATAAAAATTAAACATAGTTTACATAACACATAATTGAATCAAGCTCACTAATATCCTCAATTATAGGACAATAATTTTGTATTCACACGTTTCGAGAAAGAAAATAAAAAATCAGCTAACTTGAATTGGACCTAAAATTCATTCAGGAATTAGAATATGATTTTTAATTCAATTTTCCATCCCATTTTTATTGTATTGCTATTACCATTCTATTTCTTACTAAGAGGAAGGACCTTTTAAGGCTTGCAGATGGGCAGCTTTCTCCTTACAGAATTTCTCATAAAGCTCTTTATATTTGGCAGTCTCATCCTTCAACCAATTTTCACACTGGAGATATACAATTGCTTAATTTATAGCTTAAGAAATTCACAAAACCAAAGAAGACAAATTCGATTTCATAATAGGAATCATTCTAAGCCCTTTTATTCTCCATTAACCTCTTCTGAGCTCTTTGAAAGTGCCTTCACAAAACTCTGTCTGCAGTACAAATTCCTTTTACGAATACAAAATCAGCCGATTTAGTTACATCACATGCATGAATAAGACCGGTATGATGATGACAAAGCATAGTTAATCTAATTAAAGAATCTTCAAATGTGAAGTTACCTTTCTTTCTTAAGCTTTGATTTCAATTCATGAATCTTACGCCTTATATCAGAGGCGACATTGTCACCAAAAACATAAACAGCGAATGACAAAAAATGATTCCACAGACGGGTGTGCCAAACGTGGGAAAGAGAGAACATAAACTAACAAAACCAATTTTCCATCATTGATGAAGCCTTAGGAACGAGCAGAACTATATCATAATAGCAATGAATCAATTGTTTTCCTTAAAACATAGGGGAAGTGTACAAAAATTGACTGGAAACAAGATATTATAATTCATCTTTTTTCTGTCAGACGGAATTTTAATTTCAGCACATGTTTTTACTGCTAACGAATCTAAAATAAGGAAGAAGAGTTTATTCCGAACAATCAGAACCTCAGTTTTATAGAATTCTGTAAAACCTATAAATGTCTACAAAACTAAGTTTGATTGTTCCACCTAAAGCACATATACTAATAGAATCAATATATTAAGACTATGACGATATATCACGAGTTTAATCTAATCCATGCCAAATGATGCGATAGACATGAATGTTAAAGAATAGTTTATGGCGTTCAAATTTCAGTCATTTAATCAAACCTCTAAACTAATCAGCCAAAACAGAAAGCTCATAAGCTGCTTGACAATCACGAAAATTCTTCAATTCTGAATGAAACGATGTTGAACCTCACAATAACCTTGAAACTTCCCCTACGGTAATAAATTCAACGAAATAGAAATGAAACCGTAACTTTTGTTTGAAAATTATAGAAAAATACCAAACACAAAAGTGCGCACGGCATGTCATAGCATTAGAAAACGAAGAAAGAATAAAATACTTCATTTCCAGAGTTATATTTCATGGAAATATGAACGCGAAATTTAACACCTCGAAATTGTCTCTTCGTTCTTCTTTTGACCGTCCTTGACCGCTTTCTCCTTAATCTGTTGCAGAGCCGACATGATCCCTTCGAGATCACTGCAAGTTCACCATAATTAGTTTTGTCAACAAATAGAAGCCATAAATATGGTATTGATTTTGAAAAAGAAAAGGAATAGAGTGAGATTGTCTTTGAGAACAAAACCTAGAGAGATCAAGATCGAGGTCCTCGTCGTCTATTCGAGTTACTGGATCCGATTTGGTAAGCACAAATTCTGACCCTCGCTTTTTGGAGTTCCTTTTGGTTGTCGCCATTATACAATTTTCGAAGTTCGAATTGAGAGAAACAGAGAGACGCAAAACGGTTTTGCTTTCAGTATGTCTTGGTCGCCGGAGAAAGAAACTAGATAGAGTTCTGTTATGGCGCGGGCGTCTCTGCTGGATTCAGAATTTCAAATTTTAACCTCATTATATTCAAAATTTCTTTTTTGGTCCTAATTTTATTGGATTTTTATTTTTTGACCCCTAATGTTACCATAAATTATCTGCAATTTGCTAATACAACCGTCGTTTTGTCCATAAGCTAAAAATTTAATCCAAGGGATGTAAGAAAAAAAAAAAAAAAAAAAGTGATTATTTCAATAATTTGGATTATATTTATCAATCTACTATTACAATTTTTTTATTAATTAAATGACACGTATAATAATAATAACGATATATAACACAATTTGTTAATAAAAAACGCACAGTTCAAATCAAAACTCAGAAAAACTCTATGAACACAGAGAATTGTTGTCCGTAGCCACCGACTTAGCCATGTGTTTAATTGTTTTTTAAATGAATGTCCATGAAGTTGTCACGTGGTATTAATACAATATGTTTTTAATTTTTTTTTATAAAAATAATATTTAAATTATTTATTAAAAAAAATAAATATAAAAATATAATTATGCTGAATTGATCTGTCTTTCCTCCGCTCAAAATTCTCTCATTTTACATTAATATAATGCATGGGAGAAACTGAAAAAGAAATTAATTAATTAATGGAAAAAAGAAATCAACAATATGTACGTACGTATGTATATATATGAAATCAGCCTTCACTGTCCATTTCAAAGTCCATTCATATTAATTTTTTTTATACATATATTAGGCAATTTATAATTATATTTAATTTGTATTCATTTCAACCATAATTTTAAATATAAATTTTGTTATATGCATTTTGATTATGACTAGTTGGATCTCTGAAAACTTAAATAATATAAATTAATTAGTAATTATTTAGTAATATTAATAGTGATATATCTAGGAAGTTAATCATATTAAATGTGAATTGACCATTATTTTTATAATCTATTTAAAATATTATCATTAAACATTTTTGAGTAAAACTTTTTTTTTTTAATCATAACATGCTTAAAAAATAATGTTTCTTACGAATTATACAACATCATCAAAGATCGTAATTTAAATATAATATACTAAGTTGAAAATAACATCAATTTTTTAATAAACTCTTTTATATATATATATATTTAAGATTATGGTTGAAATGAATAGAAACTAAATATAATATGTTTCCCATAGCCTCTCGATAAATAACTTTTTCTCAAATTTTATGACCAACTCGAATTTTGTTACCTCGTGCTTTATTCATTACTGCAATCCTAAAGAAATAAAAAAATAAAAAAACAAAAATTAATGTCCGAGCTTGTTTATCAACACTACTGACAGCGTGTTTTGGTTTCTTCTAAAAGCGAAGTCGTCGCTATAGCACAACAAAGTATAATCCAAGAGAAAGAAAGTATACGTCTGAAATTAGAGAAGATGGAAAGAATGAAGCTGAAAGCATGACTTTCCTGAGGATCAACAGCAAAGTTTTGAGGAAAGAAAGAAACGAAGAAAAGCAAAGAAAAAGAAAATGAAAGAAACGAAGGAAAGAAAGAAAGAAAGAAAGAAAAAGAAAATGAAAGAAGGTAGAAAGAACGTTTCTTATGCAAGCTCGGATTTAAAGCTACCTAACGCATGTATGACTGCAAATATAAATTAAGAGACAGACATAAAAAGACAGAAAAAAAAAGAAAAAAAAAAACCAAGAAAGGAAAGAAAAGAAAGAAGGAAAGAAAGAAAGTTTTCGTGCTAAGCTCGGATTCAGAAACTGTTCTACGAAAGCTCAGTGTCGCACAAAATATGGGGAATATGTAGATTATATAGTATACGCATAGCATATACATTTGATGAAACAAAGAAGAAAGAAAGAAAGAAAGAAAGAAAGAAAGAAGATCTATGAGCTTGACTATGTGTTTGAGTGTGTGTGTGTGTATATATATATATATTTATATTTATATATGTACGTATAGTTCTCTTCTGAGGTCGCTGCCTTTTCAAAGCTACTGCGAGGAGATTGGGCGATTTGATTGTTAATAAGTTGAGCATGACTTTCGGGATTATATGTTATATAAAAAGTACATGAATGATAATATTTAAATATTGGCTAAAGAAAGAAAGAAAGAAAGAAAGAAGGAAAGAAAAACAACGCAAACCAAAGAAAAGTATGTCTCCTTCGAAACCAAACAGTGCAGGGATTACTTACCAAACCCATGGATAACTGCATGCTTAAATAATGAAAGAACGAAAGAAAGAAGGAAGGAAAGAAAAACAAAGGAAAGAAAAGAAAGAAAAAGAAGGAAGAAGGAAGGAAAGGAAAAAAGGGCCTGTAAAAGGCTTCAAAACCGAGAGCGGCGAAGTATATATAGGTCGTCATGTAAGTTGTTGCCCACGTGGCATAAATCGAAAATAATAAATTAACACAAAAGTAAAATTTTTATTTTTATTTACTAATTATTGCGCACGTGGCAACCAATCAATGAAACATCATTAGGTCACCTACCCGTGGCTCTATCAAACACCACCAAGGCCCATTCCTTCAACAAGCCCGGTCCAAAAACCAGTGCGCCCTCATCCTCCAGACCCGAAACGCTGATTTTGCTGTCGTTTTCGTGCCTCTTATGAGTCAACCCGTGCGCGACTCGGGGGGAGACGGTATAGAAAATTTGCAAGCTGAGTCAACCTGAGCGTAGGCCGAGTCGCAAGCTGAGTCAAACGCACGCGAGTTCTCTAGTGAGTTCTTCACTCGCTTTGAGGCTGATACACCTATCTTCTCTCCTCTCTCCGTTGCTGGGTAGCGAAGATTTTCTCTTTTCTGGTCGGAACAGAGAAGGGAGAAATGATAAATGTCGAGCCAGAGGATTATCACGTGATCTTTCTATCTGGGTCTTGTTTGGTTCCCGAGAAAAACAAAATGGTTCTTCTATTTTCTCCAGTTCAGGCCGTGATGAAATCAAGCGTGATTGGTCCTGTAAAACCCTATTTGCCTCAAAAGATGAGAGAGAAAACCCCATTTGTTTTTCTCTGTGAAAACCCCTTCGTTTCTCTCTCAAATTGGTTCTGTAAAACCCCAAGCTTTAGTTGCATGCCGCTGGTATGAGGTGTTCGATTAGATGGTTACAGAGTCGATAGGTGTTACCTGAATCAGCAAGACATTTGTTTGCTCTCTGTACGTCTATAGAATTCTTTGCCGTTATCTTCACTTCCATTTTTATCATAAATCGGACGGTTTTGGTGGCAGCAGAAACTTTCCCTCTTCTTCTTCTTCTTCATATTCTCCCGCCATGAGAGATCTGAAGGGTAATTTGGATTTGAACATGAGAGTGAAAAAGATGGGTGGGATTTGATTTTTCAAAACTGTAGTTGCATGCCGCTGGCTTAACGTGTTGGATTAGATTATCACAGAGTCGAGAGGTGCTATGTTAATCAGCAAGACATTTGTTTGCTCTCTGTACGTGTACAGAATCCCTCTTTGCAAAACAGGGTATAATTAATTAGATGAGGTGGTGGTGGGTTCGAAGGAAGTTTTTATTAGAGGCCCATTAATTTGCTTGCTCTCTGTAAATTCATGAAATTAGTTAACTTGAAAATTCTATAATAAGAATTGGAAAATGCTCTCTGTTAATAAGTTGACCATGACTTTCGGGATTATATATTAAATAAATAATAATAACATTTAAATATTAACCAAAGAAAGAAAAAAAAAATAAGGAAAGAAAAGCAAAGCAAAGCAAAGCGAAGAAAAGTCTTGTCTCCTTCGAAATCAAACAGTGCAGGGATGACTTAAATGATGAAAGAAAGAACGAAGAAATAAAGAAGGAAGGAAAGAACAACAAAGAAAAGAAAAGAAAAGTCTTTTTCCTCGAACATCAGTGCAAGATGGTTGCAAATTCGAAGGAAGAAAAAAAAAAAAAATAGTTTTGTTGGAAGTAATCGAATTTAAAGCTACCTAACGCATATATGACTGCAAATTTAAATTAAGAGAGACGTAAAAAGACAGAAATAAACGAAGAAAAAGAAAGAAAGTTTTCATGCAAGCTCGGATTCAGAGCAAACGATTTCATCTGCCGGTGCAAATTTAATTAAAAGAAAGAAACAAAGAATTAAAGAAGGAAGGAAAAGAAAAGAAAAGAAAAAAAAAAATCTTTTTCCTCGGAAATCAGTGCAGAATGGCTGCAAAGTCAAGAGGAAGAAAAAAGTTCGTTCCGGTAGAAGTAATCGAATTGTTTTAAAACGAAAAAGGGAGGAAAAAAAAAAGAAAATCTTAATGAATTTGTCTTCCTCACGGATGATCGAGAATCATTTGGATACATTAAAGAAGAAGATAAAAACTCAACGCAAATCCTTTTTCTTGGTAACCAAGCATGTCGGAAGTAAAAAGAAAATGAATTCATCTCGATTGCAATAAAAAGAAAAAGGATTGAAAAGTTTAGAAAGAAAAGGAAAACTGAAGTGCATTCTTTTTCTCCAAACAAATTGAAAACTGACAACTGAAGGCGAGTTTGATGAAACAGAGAACTGAAGACGAATTTGGAAGACGACCGGAGTCTGAAGAAGGCTATTAAACTACAGAGAGCAACAAAGTATTTATAGGCCATGTAACGTTATAGCACACGTGCCATAATTCGAAAATAATAAATCAACTAATTATTGTGCACGTGGCAAACAATCAATGAAACATCATCAAGTCATCTTGCTTGAACAAGGCCGGCCCAACAACCAGTGCGCTCTCATCCTCACGACCTGAAAAGCTGTTTTTGCCGTCGTCTTGTCCTCAACCTGAGTGCGGCTTGGGGGAGAGGTGAAGAGTCGCAAGCCGAGTCAAACGAACGCGAGTTGGCCAGTGAGTTCTTGACTCGCTTTGAATCTGATACACCCATCTTCTCTCCTTTCTCTGTTGCTGGGTATCGAAGATTTTCTGTTTTCTGGTCGAGACAGAGAAGAAGGGAGAGATGATAAATGTCACGCGAGAGGGTTATCACCTGATTTTTCTATCTGGGTCTTGTTTGTTTTCCGAGAAAAAAAAAATGATTCTTCTATTTCCTCCAGTTCATGCCGTTTTCTTCGCTTCCATGGATATGATGAAACCAAGCGTGATGGGTTTTATAAAACCCCAGTTGCCTCAAAATTTGATGACAATGATGACTGAGAAAACCCACCAGCAACAAGGCTGGGTTTCCGTCATCAATTGTGGGCTAGGACGAGGACCCAGGAAGCCTTTGTGGAGGTCAAGGCTGATATCCAGGCAAGCCATACAAGCAATCCATGCTCTCAAAATTCGTTCTGTAAACTCAAAATATGAGAGAGAAAACCCCATTTGTTTTTCTCTGTAAAACCAAGTTCTGTAAAACCCCGAGCTTTAGTTGCATGCCGCTTGGGTAAGGTGTTCGATTAGATGGTTACAAAGTCGACAAGTGTTACCTGAATCAGCAAGACATTTGTTTACTCTCTGTACGTATATAGAATCCTTCTTTGCCAAACAAGGCCTAATTAATTAGATGAGGTGGTAGTGGCCTTCTTTGCCAAACAATCAATGAAACAAGGCCTTCTTTGCCAGACTTTTCTTCGCTTTGCTTTGCTTTGCTTTTGTTTCCTTATTTTTTTTCTTTCTTTGGTTAATATTTAAATGTTATTATTATTTATGTACTTTTATATTTTATTTCCTCTCTGTAAATTCATGAGATTAATTATCTTGAAAATTCTATAATACGAATTGGAAAATGCTTTGCATTGTAATTACCACGCAATCCTAATATATATCGAGAGCATGACATGATGTAATAAATTCAAGGATTAATTAAGATACTTGCTTTAATTAAAGCGTAATATATACCATTGAAGAACTTACATTCGAATTATACCTATTTCCTGAAAAGATGCAACATATTGCCTCAACAATCTATTAATTTACAATATGTATGATTATATTTATGAGTGTTTTCTAAAAAATTTAAATGTTAAAAGTATCCATAAAGGGTATAAATTGTCTAGTGCCAACTGAAAACCAAATGGCTGGCCTGGTTTATGATCATCAAAACTTTTGGTTTGGATAGAAAATCAAATAAAATTTGACTTCGATTGTATATGCACTTCCATAAGAATTCAATTGACACCCACAAAAATTAAATTCAGTTCCTATACAGATTCAGTCTCCCGAATCACTTTCAGCTCCAACCTCACTACCTGTTATGGAATCAACTAGCTGTCCAATCAGAGTGCTGAGATAGAGTTTCCCGGCAGGGTTAACAGAATGAATTCTTCAGACCCACATCAGCAATAAAGACCTGATTAATTAGCATGGAAATTAGAAATCCCAGGTAGAAGATGTATTAAAACTCTACAACACAAAAAGATTATATATACACGCACATATGTATAGGGATAAAGCTTATACATGGGGGGAACGTAGTGTTCTAATCCTCCTCCAAGGTTAATCAGAAAAATCATATACCCAACCAGTCATTACACTACTACATATACATATATATAAAAGCAACAGATGCAGCATCACAAGAATCTCTTTCAATAAATTTAAGATAAAAAGAACTCCCATCTGAGCAAACACTAATTAAGTAGAGAACATAAGCAAGATGATTATCATTCATGATCAAGATGAATATTATACAGCAAGGAGGGAGGGAGGGAAGTCTATCCACCACAATTTCAAAGCTCATATTTTCAACACACCCCCAAATAACATACGACTACCCAAGAATCCCAACAACAACCCAACCCTAAATTACCAAAACAATTAACAAAAACCACCAAAAAGGAAAGCAGACGAATGACCAACCCAGATCACTTCTTGAAGCTACCCCTCACGCCAGGACGAGGCTTCGACGACTCGGGCAAATGGCTCGAATGGAGATTCACCAATTTCGATTCGTCGAAAGGGATCTTCGGATGCTTTGCATCGTGATGAATCTGCATAGACTTGATGTCCGGTGCTGTGATTTTGCAGAGAGGACACTCAAGTTTGGCGTGGCCGCCTTTTTCGTGACCAGACCTATCTGCAAGTCCGGCCTTCCCGCCGCCACGGTTCGTAGTAGCGGCGTCGATCTTCGACGCGATCTCTTTGGCTGTGTGCTTCTTTGGCTTCGCCTTCCCAGTCATCGTGATTTATGTTGCAGATGTTAAGGATTTATCTGTCGCGAACACAGATGAGAAAACCCTAATTATCCACAACCTCCGGGGACCCGACTCGAGACACAGGACAATGTGCAAGCCCTTCTGACTAAGCCTATTTATCAAACCTCATCTTCCGGACGGCTGCTTGATTTGCTACACTCAATCGTACGATACGAACATGAGTTGTGAGCATCTAATTGGCTCCAAAGTTTAATTATATTAAATTTTTTCCTTCGTGCATGCTTTTGTGATTTATTAGTTTTATATGGTGATAATGATTCTTAATGAAATTGGATTTTATTTATTGTAAGAAATAACTAGCACAATATTATGAGGTATTAATGTAAAAAAAAGCACAAATTAATAATTTTTTTTAAAAAATATATGATTTAATTAAATAAATAATTTTTGTTTGTTTAAGAATTCTGACCTACTCGTATTTTTATAAGAGACTTGAATAGA